GCACGGCTCGTTGTGTACGTCGTAATTGCGCACTTGTAACAGGGTTCTGGGTCAGGCCGGGGCGATAGGCGAGGCGCCGTCGAAGGGTGTGCCCGCCGAGTGCGTGGGGTTCTTGTCGGTTAGGGATGAAAAGGGTCAGCCCCTTCCCGGTGCCCGCGCCTCGGCTTCTCTGAGCAGGGGAGCTGAACGCCAAAGGGCACCTCTCCTCCTGGGAGGGTGAAGTGCGTTCCAGCAGCAGGTGGTGTGGTCTTCTCTCACTCTCGCCTGGTTGTGTAGCAAGGCCTGACTCTGGCAGTTTGCAGCCATGTGTTTTGGGTTATTGTTTGTTTTCGTGTCGATTGTGAGTTAGTGATGCAGTAGTTGCTCTACAGTTGGTTATGAGTCTGTGTGGAGTAGAGATGGATTGTGCAGCAGAAATGGTAACATCAGTGATCTTGCTCCTGTCCGTCTAGTCTGAGATAGAGATCCCAGATAGAATTTCAGGGAATGCATATGTACTTTATATTTTCTTGTTAGAAATACAGGTAATGTATTCCCTGCTGCACAGCGGGTGTCTCATGGGCTTGGCTGAGCTGCAAACATCTCCTGGGAAGTAGGCAATGCTCTTTTGGATCCCTTTAGGTTGAAGAGGGGAGCAAATGTCACTCTCTCACAGCTTGGGCAGGTGCTGTACCAACCAGTCTGCTGTAAAAGAAAAGTGGCTGTGATGGCTGGTTTCAGTGTCATCAGTGTGTGTTAGGCCCCTCAGGGCAAGGGGTGTAGCAAGATAGTTCATTTTGCAAGCAGCTGTGCTGGCTGAAGATGCAAGTCTTCCCCCAGTGGCTTGCTGCCTTTTCCTCTGCCAGAGCTACCGCCCCCACACTGCACTAATTTTGCCTGAAGTACACTAAGGAAGGTTCTTATTATTGCTCCGCTGATACTGGCAGACGTTTGGGCTTGGTTAGCAATGGGACGCATCGCTAAGATACCTGCCTGTTGCTTTAGGCACGGGACAACTTTCTTGTGATTACATGGTATCCCTGGGGTTTAAGTGGGTAGACAAATGCTTGGACCAGTCTAGGTGTCAGTAGCTATGGGTCTGTTCGCAGCAGTGTTAGATGACTGAGTAACCCCTTTTGATGAAAGGGGGGAAGCGTGTTTGCCTCTGGTGTTTGGGCATCTCCCTTGTATCCTAAATTTATAGGACTAATTTCAAAGATAGGCCTGCTTGACTGGCTGAACAACCTGTTGAGAAACAATTCTAGAGAAATAAATCTAATTCTAGTACTTAAACTTTTGCTAAATGATATTATAACTAAATTATTACCTAGGTTTAGTTTTAAACTTTCTGGTTAGGGGATCACACAGTTACTGGTCATCTCATGCCTCTTACTTGCTTGCACCAATGTGTGTTTTTCTTCCAGAAAGTCTTTGCAAAGGAGTAACAAAGTAATAATTGTAAATAGCAATAACTAATGTAACCATAATTAATGTATATCTTCTGGTGCTTGGGCTTCTGGGAAACCCAGCCACTTTAGTGTGGTATTTTTGTGCTTAATTTCGTAGGTCAACATCTAAAACTTGATTGGTTTGCTTAAATTATAGGATATAAATTATTTGGTGCTACACTCATCTTGTGCTTTATGTCAAAGGAATTAAACCAAACAAATCTTCTCCCATTAAGAGAATTAACCAATTCAGTGATTCAAGGTTTCCACTGAGTTCTGTGCATTTGGGGAGTTATAAGTGTTTAGCCCTGGTAGAGTAGACAAGTTCATTTCTGTCATCAGATAAAGTGAAAATTTTACAACTAACGGTGGGCTGAATCATGATACTTGTCAATCCTAATGTTTCGTCGTCTTTCTAGGGCATATTGGACATAGTAATTTCTCAGAGGTCTTGGAGCATTTCAGAATCTTGAGGGTTTTTGGAGGTGTACCTTTCTCTGATGTATGTGGTCTCCTGGAACATCGTACAGACTGTCAGCTTTCTAGGGAGTTCAGATTTGATGGTAATGCCAGCTTCAGTTCTCAAGGAAGATGGCTTGCTTCCTCAGTAACTTCATTCTTTGAGAGAAACTTAGTGGTTCTGCAGTTGCTTTATCTGTAAGGTTTGTAGTTTGCTAAAGAGTTTTTCCTAGAAAGCACAATGGCTGCACAGGTGAGCTTTAACTAGGAGCAGCCTGCTTACTTGTGACAGATTTCCTCTGATGTTTTTCACTGTTGCAGTAGGATAGATTACCTGCAGCATTATCAGTGGGATGGCTGGTATCTTTGCCTTTACCTAGTCATTCACAAAATACGAATTCCAAGCCATTTGTAGCTGCTCAGAAGCAGGTGAAAAGGATGAAAGGATTTACTTACGAACAAGCTCTCAGTCTAACTTGTCTTTCTCAAAGTTGTGGAGTTGAGTCACAGCACTGTCTTTCAGGGGAAGTTGACTTCGTATTTTCACCCTGTGATATTTCAAAGACAACTTTGGGAAAGCTATTGTACAGTGTCACTGGTGGGCAGATTGAGATCTTCAGATGTATTTGACCAAAAAATTGTTAACAAGCTTCCATTAAACTGATCTTGAGCTTTTTGTTAAGCATTTTGTCAAGCTTTTTGTCATTTAATGCCTAAAGTGCTCCTGCAGGGATCAAGTGCTTTACTTGTTGGCCATTTAAAGGTTTTTGATAGCAAAAGCACTTAGCTATGCAGTGAATTCTCTTCCTTGGAAAAGAGACACTCAAGAGTGGGCTGAGGAAAGCTGACTTTAACACTGTGTCACTTCTCAGTGCTGGATCCCAAGGCTTTGAATTAAGGAGGATGGAAAAAGTGGGAAGTAGGGGTCATCTTGGTGGGTCCCAACCTAAAACAAAAAAAGACTTCTCTAGTTCACATGCATGGGTAGTAATTCTACCGGTGTAGTGATTACTTGTTTGAATAGAAGGCAAGTTAAAGCAGAGAAAATGAATATGGCACAAAGCCATAATGGCTTTGAGAGTACAGTAATGAAGCAAAAAACCTACTCTCCTTTATAGTTGTCTCCCCAGGCTTAATTCTCTCAATTCTCAGTGCTGGGAATAAACGTCCTCTGCAGTGGTGCTGTCTGTGATCAGAACGTCCTCTGCAGTGGTGCTGTCTGTGATCAAGCTAATTGATGGTGTTTCTGTCATTGCAAATGGTAAAAATAACACTTGGATCACAAGAAAATCTGATATTAATGTGACAATATTGTACATTCAGTACTTCACAAAACATGCCTTCTTTGGAATATCTTTTTTTTAAAGTTTTCTCTCTAACTTCAGGTAGAGTGGGAGACTTTCGTCAGTGAAATCATGCCAGTCTGTTTTACAGAATTCAGCATGTCTTTTCTGAATAAGAGCAAAAACCCCATTCTGTTAGTTCTGTGATGTTGTCTAGGAGCAGCTTTGCTAACATTTATCTTGAGCAAATTCACGTTGCTGCTTTTCCAGTAATGTTTAATTTGTTGAAGTGAAGAAAATTAAGTTAGAAAAACATTTTTGGATGGAATATAACAATGCACATGATTATATTAAAATCTGGTTTTAAAAAAGTGTCGTGGTTTAAACCCAGTCAGGTAATTCGTTCGCTCACTTCCCCCCCGTTTCTTGCCCTCCCCCTGCTCTCGGAGGGACGGAGAGGAGAATCGAAAAGAATGCAACTCCCACGGGTTGAGATAAGAACAGTTTAGTAACTAAGGTATAACACAAATCACTACTGCTACCACCAATGATAATAATGATAAAGGAAATAACAAGGGAAGAGAATACATCATCTCACCACCAGCCGACCGATAACTCGCCCCCCCCCAGCCCGACCAAGCTCTGACCGATACCGCCTCCAACCCTGCAGTCTCCCAGCCCTCCCGGCTAACTCCCAGTTACATCCTGGGCATGACGTGCTGTGGTATGGAATACCTCTTTGGTCAGTTTGGGTCAGGTGTCCTGTCTCTACTTCCTCCTGGCTTCCCCTCCTCCCTGGCAGAGCATGAGGCTCACAAAGTCCTTGGCCAAACCTAAACATCACTATCAGCTCTGTTCCCAAGCTGAAAGTCAAAACACTGCACTGCACCAGCTACCAAGAAGGGGAAAAATGACTGCTACTGCTGAACCCAGGACATTATCCACCCCTTATTCCATACCATTCACGTCATGCTCAGATCCCACATTTTCAATACACCCATCACTCCACTCTTATCTAAGTGCATGGACTATAAAGCTATATCCCTATAAAGCTGCTGAGTCCATCTGGTCCATGATGTCAGGCTCCATCTCTTGTACCAGTCTTCCAGAGCAGGAGAGACTGTGTGCAGTGTTCACACTCGTGAATAACCTGGGCAATAGTGTCCATTGCTAGGTCCACCCCTTGATCATGAGTCCATCTCTGTGTTGCATCTCTGCTCTGATGGCCTGAAGTGCATTGGGCCCACCAGGCTCAAAATAATTCACTGTCCCCTGCAGCAGTTTCTGCAGCTTGTTGCTGGGGACTCCATACAGCTGCCTTCCATCTCCGACGCTTCCAAAGCACTGGAGGGGCCCAGTGGACTAGATACTTGCCCATACTGTCCCACACACCCTGCCACTCATGACTGTCCAGCCTTGGGGAAAATCTCTTGGTCCCCCCATATCGTCGTCTAACCCCAGACAAGACCCAAACCTGACTCTGCTTAACTTTTGAGATCAGACAAAATGGTTGTGGGTAGAACACAGTCTGTGTGTGTGCCAACATGCTGATCCCCATCACAATCAGCAGGCAGGTCCCAAGGACACCCAAAGGCCATTCAAAACCTTCAGAACTCTCAGTTGATGCTGCTGTACTTGTCACTGGGGCTGGTGTAGCTGCTGTGCTTGCCGGCTCTCCCACCGCCAGCTTCTCTTTTCCTGAGTCCAGCTCTTCCTCCTCTGCCTTGCTGGGAAATGCTGCGTGGTCTCCTGCATCCTCCTGGGGCTCGGCGGGCGGCTGCCGGGGAATGCTCTCGGCCGTCGCGGGGCTCGGCTCGGCCGCGGGGCTCGGCTCGGCCGCGGGGCTCGGCTCCTCCGCGGGGCTCGGCTCCTCCGCCGCCTTCTCCCGCTGCTCGGCAGCCGCCTCCTTCTGCTCCTCGACCGCCCCGACCTCCTCCACCCGCAGCCGTCCCCTCGCGGCCTCCGGCCCCGCTCCCGCCGCCGCTTGGTCCCCGGGGCCGCTCTCCCGGGCCGGTTCGGCTGCCGCCGGCTCCCGGGGCCGCTCCCCCTCGGCTCCCCGCAGCCTCACGAAGATGGAGAGTAGGGTGAGGGCCAGGACGGTGAAGAGCAGCCGGACGGCCAGGTACAAGTCCACGGCCACGTCCGTCCTGCCCTGCTGCTGGAGCCCGCCCGTATTACAAGCCATTGCCATAAAGCACAGTGAGACAAGAACCTTAGCCCAGGCCCCATACTTGATAAACACTATCACAGCAAATACCGGCTCTACGTAAGTTACAACATTCTGAAGCTGTGAGATCAAGCAAAACAACTCTGAGACCCAATAAATCAGCATTGTGACGAGTGACTATCAATCTGGTCAGATCTGTCGTTATCTCAACCCTTCGTGCCCCACGTTGGGCGCCAAAAAAGAACTGTCGTGGTTTAAACCCAGTCAGGTAATTCGTTCGCTCACTTCCCCCCCGTTTCTTGCCCTCCCCCTGCTCTCGGAGGGACGGAGAGGAGAATCGAAAAGAATGCAACTCCCACGGGTTGAGATAAGAACAGTTTAGTAACTAAGGTATAACACAAATCACTACTGCTACCACCAATGATAATAATGATAAAGGAAATAACAAGGGAAGAGAATACATCATCTCACCACCAGCCGACCGATAACTCGCCCCCCCCCAGCCCGACCAAGCTCTGACCGATACCTCCTCCAACCCTG